AGTGAAACGAGCGAGACAACGCCACCGCTTGCGCTGCGAGTTACTTCACCCCCGGTAAGGGTAGTTACGGAAACCTTCCTCGGATACGCTCGCCAAGCACTATCGTCGTAAGCGTAAAATATTACAGAGCGTTCCTTATACTTTCGCAAGGATATTTCGGTATATTCTTATTTCGGCACTCTAGCACCGAGGGATGTCCAGTTTTGCAAGAGAGAGAGAGAGAGAGAAATTCTTTTCGTACACGCAAATTACAATATAATCGATAAGTAATGTATTTGAGTTACGGCAGAGATATATGTACGCTTTTAAATTTCGTTAGATAAATGTTTAATTAATAGGAAATCATTTGTCAACAAGAAATTGTTCACAGCAAATCATAAATATATTTTTTATTTTTCTAGAAAGATTAATCCGTATAACTTCCATATTAATAAGTAATAATTATCTTATAAATAAACTTTAAATGCTAGTTTTTAAAAGTTATTAAACCATTTCATTTTTTAAAAGTGTTTGTAATTAACGTATTGAGATTTTTTTAATTAAATTTTACTAAATATACTTTACATAAACTTAAATTAGGAAGAAATAAGATTCTATTATATGTATTATGTTTCATTTTTTCAATTTTGTGAAAAAATTCTAGATATTTTTATTTTTAAAGAAATGTCATCTTCAATCGACTCTACTTTGCGAAATATCGCTTCTACCACAAAAGTATATTGAAAGAATCGAGAAAATCTTCTCGGTACTTTACAAAGATTATCGCGCGATAATGTTCGCAAAAGAGCTCTAACGTTTTGAATAATATTCTTCGCGCAATGCATACAGAGTGAGATCTCGACAATTGTCCTTGGTGAAACTGCTATCACTCGGCGCTATCGCTATCGCACACTTTTTTCAACGAGGCGCAGTAGAACGACACGCATAATCGAATGCGCGCATCCTCGTTAACTTCCGCTTCAACTCGCGTTTCGCGTTAGAGAACGACGGGCTGTATCACCGAAAATTCCGAGACAGCCAAGCGGAATCGTAAAACTCTATTACCAACAACCGGGTTGGCGAAGGTACGAAGCGAACAAAGGCCACCGCATTCGCCGATGTTTTTCCGTCGCATCGTAAAAAGACGGCGTGGCGAGACCGTCCAAACGACCATCCGCTCTTTCTGTTTGTCGAACGAGGAGGTTCATCGCCCCGAGGGCGAACAGAATCTAGACGACGAGAAGAACACAAGACCTGAAGTGAATTTCCAACATTTAATTTATCTCACTATTGCGGCTGACGTCGCAGACAACTGTTTATCAGTACTACTTTTCTCGTTCACTTTCTTTATCTCGAACGACTGTGAAATAATTGCACTGCTAATAAAAAGATACCGTCGGTCTCTCAATAAATATATCGTAAATATTTATAATATTAGGGTAACAAATTCGTTATAAATATATTAAATATATATTCTCGATCTACATGTATTGTAGATTTAACTTCTGTATATAATGTCTCTATATTTATCGTTCATAAAATCATATATGTATTCCTTATTTTTAATATTGTACATATACTTTAAATTAAATTAGATACTAGACTTTGAAATTGAAATACGAGATCACTTAATTAATTTATTTGTTTTTAATCTAAAGCAAAAATCTCTATTTTATGCATATATAATATTCAAATTATTCAAATTATAAACAGATCGATTGTATTTTTTATCCAAATTTTCAAATTATTCAGAGTATTCGAGAATTTCAGATTCGCGACTTGCAATGATATCTAAATATTCAAGTATTAAATTACATCCGCGGATTTCGCGATATGCATTACATTATAGTTGTAGTGGATATTAGTATTCATAAAGCTTGTGAATCATGTGTAATTCGCATTATATCCCCGTTACACGTCATTGTTAATAGTAAGTTTGGATCTCATGTAATTTCCTATGATGAAGTAGTATACGTCATGGTTAACGGAGTTTTAGTTTCGTTTCCGACGCGAATGCGCTCATTGCTCTGCACCGTGCCGTTTCGCCGTTGAGTTACAGGAGAAGATAAATTTTTCGAATCACCCATAGCGGCGAGTTCGAGCGTCGCGAAATGTGCAGCGCGATTGCCAGCCCGACCGCCGTAGCGATCACCGTGTGTGTCCCAAGGAGATTTGTTAACTTCCAACAAACAGAAGTTTATCAATAAAATTGCTTTCACAGTGTAATACCGCTCTGGAGTTTCGCCAAATTCGGCCATCCAACTCCTGCGCGATGTTTTGCAACGACTCACACGCTCGCATACTCGCCGCGGCATGACCGATGCGCCTCTATACGACTCTGGTGCATATTTAGAATGCGCCGTTCTCTCTTTAATCATTTAGTAACTCGACATGGTAATTACGTTGGTCCTGGTTAATACCATGCGCAAATATCCGCCAAGTTTATTTTATGCTGGAAATTATCAATTTCCGGCAGTATACATAGTTAAACGTGTAACCGCAGGCTTATATTTTACATATTGTGCGGGTGGAGCTATTTTCATATTGAGTTCTCCATGAGTGTCGGCAACTTGTAATACATTTTCTGGTTTACCAGGGAGTGACTTTTTATACATATATTGTTATCTTTTTCCGATAAAATAAGAAAGAAACAAAGAAGCATATAAAAAGAGAATAATAATAATATTATATAAAATAATGTAGAACGAAAGAAATGTATTTAAGAAAAAATAACGGAGAATTCTCACAGAATGTTCCTCTAAATTTTTAGTACTGTTTGTATTTAGTAATTTTGTCATTGTGAAAAGAAACACCTATTACATAATATCCTAATAAAAACCAAAATGTTTGCAATATATCATTACTTCGCAGCGAATATTACTTCTGAGTAATGGACAAAATAACTATAAAATTTTCCAATTTATAAAATATTGAATTCACAGTAAAATAATTGCATAAATCGTAGATCAATAAATTCTATTATGAAATGCAGAAGATATTCCAATGAAATCATGCTAAAAAATTATGAATTTATACATTTTCTTATTACGAATAATACAATATGAGATAGAAGCATAATAGTTTTGAAAGAAGTATAATAATCTTAAGAAAATATACTATAATGCAAAACGTATATAAACGTTGGCATGTGATATTTTACAATTACGGAGTAAAATATATACAAACATTATGAAATACGTTCAACGTAATAAATGTGGTTTTAATAAGTTACTTATCAGACAATAATAGACATCTTGATAAATAAATATCAAGGAAAAAAGACCCTTCACTGACGACAAAAACGTGACTAATTTTCTTAGTTATTTCCAAAAAATCTAAGTAGATTTTTCCGTAATAGGAATAGCTAATTTCAAATTTATGCCAATTATTCCAACTGTAATTGCAATCGGTACGTCATATTCATTAATGCCAACGAAAATAATATTTATATCCTCGATAATAAGAATAATTTTGTCTTTTATGTAAAAAATAATATTTTTACTAAATATAAATTATATAGTAAAATAATCTCTATTTAAAAAAATATTTTACTGTTAAAAAAATTAATCTATATATACATATATATTGTTTACTCCTATTATAGTCACTTTCAATATAAGTTTCTTAATATAAGTGCCTTCAACATTAATGTATATGTCATATTGATCCCCACAGCCGCATATTTTTATTTATTAACAAAGTTGAAAATGATAGTCATCTACTATTTTAATTTTGTATAATATTTATGTTTATTATTGTTTTATAATATTTTAATGTTTATTAAGATATCAATAAATTAAGATATCAACAATTTGATAATTTTGATTCTCGTGGGAAACAAGAAATAATAATTATTTTGTTCTTATAATTTAAAAAATGTATTTATAAATAACAGTGTAAGATTTATATATACGTCTTGTGTGCAAAAAAGTTTATCACAATCTTTAAGAAAGCATTAAAATGTATTTTAAATGTAATCTTAAAAAAAAGTGTAGTCAATAATTACTCCAGTAATACCTTCATTGTCATCGTCAAAGAACAGAAAGAGATTACATTGTTTGTTATTTATAATGTTATTCGTAAAGTAAAATTTTTAACATATTAAGGCTTCCTGATTCTCTAATGCGATGCACTAGATGTACCGAAACTGCAAGTAACGGAATTCAGCGTTGGAAATGGGTTCCACCTTCGAGATAAGGATGTTAGGGAGTTCCATTTTGGAGAACTAGGAAGGATCGTCACATCGGGCATCAACTGGCAACACCCGGTTTCACCACGTGCGAAAGTGAAGCTTCACAGCAGCAACGACGTCTCGAATCCTTAATCGCGTAAATGGAGTTTATTTCGCGCATCAAGCAAGTCGTGCGAACTTTCGAGGCAGTTACGTGCGACTTGGCGTGCCACGCATACGTTAACGCGAAGCGATTTCTAGTCAACTTGGTATCCCTTTGCTCGCAACATAAGTCCTTAACTATTCGACTTTTCTCGAGACTACCAACTGTAATAATTTTATCTGATTTCTTTTATTTATTGGTTTCAACGCTCTATATATATCGTCGATAGGAAGGAAACTTTTGTTAATTTTAATTGGGATCTCTTCTTGTTATTTAAATATTCTGTGTGAGTATAAAACTTTTATATTTCAAAGTTTTTAATATATAATATTCAAAGTTTTAAATATATAATATTCACATAAATCAAATTTAGTAAAAGTTATAAAATATGTGATCTAAAATTTTATTTTGTTTATTCTCAATATGTATAAATATTTAAAAATTTTTAAAAATATTTTTGTTAAAGATTTTATATGGTAAATAATAAAGCATTTTATATGGTATAATAAAGAAACAAAAAGTTAAAGATAGATTAATAAATTATTAACGCGTAAATATTAGAATGCGTTGAATCAATTGACGGTATTATAAATAATCAATCTTGGTAAGAAGTTTGTACTAACAATAAGCGAAGAATAGCGGAGTCTCGTATCACTCGAGTATTTCCGATTCAATTATGAAACTCACCTCGTTTCGAAGCGTGGAAACTATCTTGCGGTTGTATCACCTCGACCTGGGCGCTGAGTCGAGACTTAGGCAGGATGTCCCGGTTGGCGTTGATCTTCTCCGCAGCGTAGCGAAAGGCCACTTCCTGCTTGTCGTCCGACGGATGAAACAACCCACCTGGGAAATCACGCATCCATATTAAAGAGTGCTACTTTGGCGGGATCCATGCACGTGTACTCTTCCTTATTTTCCGTCTGCGATCACCATCACAGACCTTCTTTTGATCCAACCGTCTATCTATCTGATCCTTTCTGTCCGCCAATAAAGGCGAACGATAAAGATTTATGGATCCATTTACACCTTCGCGCTGAATGATTCAAACCGGATTTATATTCCACGTAACTTTAATGTTCAATATATTTTATGTGCATGTGTTTACGTATTATATACAGTATTTTTAAAATAATTATGATATGTTTTTGCAAGAATCTTTTAATTTAAGCTTGAAAATAAAGGGTTTCAAACAGTTGTGATATTATAGTAAAATTTTTATATTTAAAAGATATATATTTTTTTAAATTTTTATATACGAGTACTTTTGATAACAGATTGTATATAATAAATCCTAAAAATGTATTAATCCAAATGTATTAATACCTCGTGTAGAAAAAAACTTATCAATTTAAAACACATTGTATCATTCAGCATTAAATATATTTAGCATGAAAGTAATATAAATAATATAAATAAAAAACGTATAAAAACAAAATATCAGAAATCATTAATAGCTGCATGTAAGCCATTGTTCAACTATACAACGGAAGCAGATTAAAATTTGTGAAATATTTTTGTACTCTCTTTTAAAAATAATAAAAGGTTTCTTTACTTTCCATATGCCGTCATTTCCATCATCTCGCGTCGCATAAGTACTCTTGACAGTTTCTTCGTGTGGTCCGCTCAAATTCCGCGCCTTTCAATTCATTCAGTTAGGAGAAATTGGCGCCATAAATTGATTTTAATCTCGTGTACGTCATAAAGTAACTGTACGAGCAGCTGCGCCGGCTTGACTTCGCGATTTATAGAATTTGCGGGATAGATTTACGTCTCTCGTTAGTGAGCTGCTATCGATTTACTTTGGCGCACTTCGCAAGGTTGCCCGATTCGCCGCAGTCATTGTGACAATAATGATTGTAATAACGTAAACGGGAACAAAATATTGAATAGCGTAGGAATGTGGCGTAAAATCGAGGAGGAGAAAGGAATGAGTAGCTCTCGCATCGGGAGAATAAATTTTTTATAATTTTTTTAACAGAGAGAGATTCGTAGAAGTACAAATAAAAAATTAATATATGTATAATTCTTCAGATCAAAGAGAAAGGAAGGAGGTTGCGAAATGCTGGGGGATGCGATTAAAAGTGCATAATAACATTAACAGCTTATCAAAAAATCAATCGAATTTATGTTGCGGATATTGTTAAGCGTGTGTACGAGAATACGCGAATCGTGACAATCGGTATTTTGAGTCAATTGTAAAGCCGTCGCGATTATTCTGCTAAAAATCTACGTTTGTGTCAGTTAGATATTTCCTTGTTTGCAAACCAAATTTATTACACTCGTTTATTCACTGACCGTTAATGAATTATTCCGCTCAAATTGATGGAGCAATACGTTTCGTCGCAACCATTACACGATGGAAATAAAAACGGTAAATTGATCCCAATTGAATACATGGGAGTTCAAGCTTATTCCTAGCATTGCGTATCTCAAGCCTCGGTTTAATTATATGCTCGAAAAAACAGGTTTGCCGTCGGTTTGTGCAAATAAATCGCGAAAGCTATATACGACCATATACGTGTTTTTAATCTTGACTTTGGTTTGACAAAAAGCATGTTTGTAATACCGTTGAATTTAAAACAAACTTTTCTGCTGTTTTGAAACGGAAAATTGCTATAAGTATAACAATAGCAAAAGATGTCTTTTTCTCAGTGCATATATTATAAAATTATTAGTTATATTTTTTTAATATATGTATATAAATCGTTATATATACATACATATATACATAATTGCCTCTTTCATATATATTTATAAAATAAAATTAAAAAAGGTTATCTCTGTAGATCATATTATATATCATCATTAAAAAAAACAAGTAGGTTTATACTCTATTCTTCCTCGTTCTTTATTCTTTTAGTAATTTGCCAACGTAATTTTCTTAACAGAATAAAATATGCGGTTGTTTGATTTACAATAACGATGAAAAGCAAATGAAAATGTTGGGAAAGAGGATCAAGAAAATTACAACGGATATTGAACAAGTATTGAAGAGAATGCTGGGAAAATTAGAAAACTAAAATACAAAACGTTTAAAATTCAATCGATCTAATGAAAACTAAAAGAATCTCTAGTTCCGACGTCTCTTTTATCTCGGTGTGTCTCTCTTCGTATTATTCCGGTAAATTCCTTCGCTTTTCAGCTTTTCGATACAGAAAAATATTGACCACACGCCATTGGTGATATGCTACGGAGCAAGCACGCGTAGCACAAATGAATGCATCAAAACTCATAGCAAGTATCTTCCTGAGCACGGACATATAATATTGATCCGCTTCTGCTTCTTCCTGGCTATTTTAAAAAAGAAAGCTGCGCTCGGAAATCGAGTGCAACGTGAATTTACGTTTCGATAAAAGTTCAGAGTGCATGGAGGTGCATCATGTTGCTCGCGTATATCCCGCGTATAAAAACAACGATCGTAATGTTAAACAATGACGGTTTCACGTATGATTTTTTGTGCAAAATCTGTGAACTGCTATTTTTTATTGTATTGCGAAAGATAAGAATGGAATGCAGAAGTCTAAAGATGTGTGTGTAAAACGCTTGTATTATTAAATACAATATCTATGTTTTAAAAAATATGTATGAATCAATGGTTTTCAGATATAGAAATATATATAATAGCCAACGTAGCGTTATACTGTCATTAGATTCTGGACAGTATCACTATTGGTTTTGCTTTCGGACAACAATAGCACCGTTCGTCGAACGATGTAATAAAATCTTTTTGTGTCCCTTAAATACATAAATTTTTTTTTTTGTTAGAAAAAAATTAACAAAATCACTGCACTTTACAATCTCATAATTATAATAATTTTCTCTACGTGTAATGAAAATTTAAATATGCGTAGCTTTTATGTCAAAGCATTTTCACGCGACTCAAAACTAAAAGACTATACTTTCAAAACACTTTTTCCACTGAAATAAAATAATATTTTGTGTTGTAAAAAAAGAATACAGTACAATAATTAAAAATAATAAGAGTAATTTAGGTACAATATAGTACAGTAATTTAAATATAAAAATTATAATGTCTATTTAAAAAAAATGTATGTGTGATTATTAGATTAATTTTACGAATTTATAATTGTTATTATATACATATATAAATACACACACATATACACATATATGTATATAATTTAAAAGAGCAAAAAACCTTGTTTAGACTGTTAAAAAATATGAATAGCACTTTTTTTCTACAAATACTTGAAAAAAGTTTAAAATACACAAATTAAATTATCGCTTGATCATCGCTTTTATGTAAAAGATTTTTAAATAAAATAAATTTTTTATATTTAGATATTACGTCCAATTGCGACATTTTGCAATTTTTTGCGACTTACGCGGCTGTAAATATACCGTATATATCACTGCATCTGTTCTATTTACAGTCAACCGGTACTACTTTTAATATACCCACAGGCAGCTAATTTACGACATTTGACTGTGAAATACCTCGTGTTATACATATATTCGCTACATACGCAGTAGCACACGCATGGCTGATATCGGACTGATTTTCTCTCTGACGCGCAATAGCCAGAACTTCGATAATTGTCGTCGCACATCGATAAAATGCCTGTTGTCCGCGTTTCGCTGCCAACGTTCCATTTGCATCACCATCAGTGCCAATTAAATAAAGCACTGTTAGTAATGCGATATTACTATCGTTAATTTCAATTATTTGTGCCTCACAGCCGAAACATTTTCATGAAGCCACTATAGTAAGTAACGTTAGCAATTACTTACACTAAGAAAGTATAAAGCAAGAATAACTGCAGATTGAAAGTAAGACGATATAATTAGTAAAAAGATAGTTTTAAATAAAACTAAAAAGTATAACATATTTTTTTTTAAATACATTACGATTGCAAAGAGAAAAAAACAAATAATGTTATAACTGAATGACATATACAATAAATTCCAGTGTAAATGCGACGAATATATTTCGCACTATGATGCCGCGTTAAAAGATATTTCATATTTGGATTATACAAAATTTAAAAATACAATTTTTAGTATAAAAAAGCACATACAAAATTTGAAATTCACGTTATGAGGGTGATTTATCGTAGCGTTATATAAGATCTGTTGCAATTTTTTTTTTTACCATATTATAGCAATATTGGAGGTTTACTGTAGTTAGATTATAATAAAAAATTAGCATTTTTTTCATATATCTATATACTTCAATTTGTGCAAATTTTACCAGTAAAACTAAATTGTGTAAATCACCCCACGCGCGCATTTCCGTTGAAAAGAAATTTTAGCGCGAGCTTCTCGATAATTAAGCTTGAGATCAAGATACCGTTAAAGTAAATTTCGCTTAGAATTAATTTGAGGAATAAGATCTTATCTGTTTATAATGTTCCCCAAGCTTCATTCTCAATATCAGCTCAAAGAACCAAGTCGTGCTACCGTCTTCTCACTCGCGAGTATTATCGAGCGGGACATTGATAATAATTTTACTGATGCTATTCAATGCCGTCGAAAAGGTCGCGGCTTTCATACCGGGGGAAGCTGGGAAAGATACTCACCTATCCTAATGAAATCAGGAAGAGCCGCTGCGTGGGCGACGAGGAGCGCCAGCAGCAGCAGCAGCCACCTCGCAGCCATTTCCGGTTCCGGTTCACCCCGCCGCCTTCCCCGCCCTCCGTCGCCGCCGCCACCGCCGTCGCCTGCAGCCTTTCCTTCTCCTTCCTTTCTCTCTTTTCCTCTCGGTGGACTCTTCTCCTCTTCGTTCTCCCAAAGAAACTTACGCCACTGGAAAACAAGATTGGACAGCGAGTTCATTAAAATGCACACTGCAAACCTTCGTATCCGGCCTGAATATCTGCCCTCGTTTACAAGAGAATTGTGTTTCAAGAGCGCCACGACATCATCGTGATCGCTCACACGAAATCGGCTATAATTGTCACCTTACGAGAATCGGAAACCAATGAAAGAGCAAACTCAAATGATAATAGGTCTTTAAATCGATCATCGATATCGGGGCAGTGGATACAGGATTGTAGGAAGAAAAAATCGCGAAGCATCAGACCCGAAATTGGATAGATAATATCGTACTTAATAAAGTACATACTAGTATGTATATAAATGGATAATATATCTATTAAAAACATTATCGTTTATATTCACAATTCATTTATTTTAATAAATATATTTCTTTAAACGTCACGAATTGTTGTATTCATGTATCGTTGCATTATTATCCCTCAAAATGCAATTGTGACAACATCGTAAGAAAACATGAACATTCTCTACACAAATATATATATAATTAGCAATTATCCGTTTGCGCATTTAAAAATGTATAAGCGTATTGAGATAACGATTATTTATTAAATAAAACATTTTGCGCGATTTATTTATTTGAAGTAGGAACCAAAGCGAGATATGCAACGGAAATTGTACACAAATTATTATTTTATTATTTATGGAAGATAATTATTTCTTTAACAACGCTCGAATTTTCAAATATATTGCCTTTTGAATTTTTTGCTGATTTAAATATAATTTTTCCACCATTTATGAATTGAGAGCTTGGAATAATATACAAATCGCCGAATCGAATAATTCAAGTAACGGAAAGTCGGAATACATTAATTTTCTATTAATAATACATGCGTTTCGCAATATCAATGCATTCAAAATGTATTATGCGTACAATACTGAATTTTGATTGCATACTTTCGGACAGTTTTTATTGCATCCTATACCGTTTTAGCCACTATAATTTAATTTTATTATATATAATTGTATATATTTATACATATATAAAAATATTTTCAATAAGTTTAGAAAAGAGATTTTTTCCGTTTAAATTATTTAACTAAAAATTAGACTTTTATTATATTAAATTTTATAAAAATTGATACTTAAAAAAAAAAAGATTTGTTCAAGAATTGTATAATTATTTTATTAAACATGTACTTGAAAGAAAAATTAATAATTAAAGAACAATTAATGCGTAATCTTTTTTTTTTTAATTACTTATTTTGTTAACTGTTTTTATTTAAATATATTTGTATTGGATTAATATTTATGTTACAATTTAATCGCTTATAACAATAAATAGGAACTACGCAATATATATATATATATATATGAATATATCTATTTAATGCTCTATCGGTGATAGAGCAGTAAATTAAATACGTAAATAGTAAAGTCGGCATGCGAATAATTGCTGTTGGAGATAACATAATAGAGACAAATGACTATAATAGATATAAATGTCTCTTATTCGTCTCTTTTTAAATATAAGTTTTGTAAGATATTACACACAACGAGTGTATATGCCGGCAATTTGTATTGCAGCATTACGAAACGTCGCGCTGGATATAATTCCAAAATATATTACGCGCTGAAATATATTCCGCGAAATACCAAGGCATCTTGCTTTGCCCAGTTCCTCCCTTTTGTTACAGCTGCCCCGTGATACCTTATGAAAGTAAATGTTACATGTGCCGTCGGATATCGCGCAAGAAATGCAGGTGAAAGGAAATATCGCACTGATTTTAAATCACAACATCTCCGGATATAAGTCGGTTATCTCATCTAAATTTTCATGAATGATTGTTATGTTTTTTTTTTCTATTTTATAAATGCACCCTTTTTTCTCTCCAAGCATTTTTGATTTATCTAGTTTTCGACCAATTCAAAAGAAAAGAGAATACATTTTTACATATTTAAAATTAACTTTTTCTATCTAATAATTGTGAAAATATAATTATGAAAGTACAGAATTGTTAAATCTTTAGATTCTAAAAATAACCTTATTTTATGCTAAAACTTGATTACTTTATGTATAAGTAAACTTTGATTTTCCAACGGAAATCTCTATTAAAATTGTTGATCATGTGCGTTCGTTGATTCTTCAGCAAACTTTTCACAAATTACGAAACATGTAATTTAGCCGCGCTTTATGCACTTATCATCTTTACAAAACAATATTATGGTGATTAAAATTGAAAATACGATTAATACAACTTTAACACGGATAATCGTTTAAGGAGGAACTGGACGGATCAACTACGTCAAAAGTTAATAAATCTAATATATTTCGAGATTCATAAATTTGACATTGCGCACAAAGTACTTTTAATCTTTCAAAATATAAAATTAATAATTTATTTGAATTGAAGATTTGCCTTGTGGAATTAAAATTTTTATTTTTATGAATCTTTATGCACAGTCATACTATAAAAAAATTAGTTCGATATAAGATAATACTTACGATTTTAAGATCATATTATATTCTGCAAAGCAAATCTTTATTTTAATTCATAAATTAATTATTAATTTTATATTTTGAAGGGCTAAAAATGCTTTATGTGTGCGAAATGTCAAATTCATGAATCTCGAAATGTGCTAGATTTATAACTTTTGACGTAGCTGATCCGTTCAGTTTCTTCTTAAGGGGATCCAAAAGCTCGTCTGTTTTACCGACCAAAAATTATTATTTTGCACATTGAAATCTTTTTTTTAGTTGATAATTATTATGGTCGGTAAAACAGACGAGCTTCTGGATCTCCTTAAGCGAAGGCACTGACGGAAATGGGAAAAACAAGCGAGAGAAAAAATGGGATCGCGTGTGTTTTTAAACTGTAGCTAGAGGACTTTTTTTGGTAATGCGAACCACGAACGTGTAGTTACAATGGCCGCGCGTGTACAATATACGAGCTTCGCGAGAGCACTGAGTCGGAGTGCGCAAGATTGGTAAATGCAGCTAGGAATACAGTGAAAATACATGGCGCTGCGTCGCGTCGCGCCGAACTACCATGTAGAACAGTACCGTGTGTTCTAGAAAAATATTTGTTAATCCCACAATGCAGATTTCGTAAGCGGCGTAAATCCCTTATTCGCCTTTGGGTAATCCGCTCTTTTATTAGAATGGAGAATTGTCGCACGTGGAGGATGGATCGCGTTTATTTTTCCGTTTGTTTTTCCCGAGCTTTTTGTTCGGCGCATGTATGTTATTCATGAATTGTATTGAATTGTTTATAAGTATATTGTCAGAGAGATTGTGTGTCAATCGAGAACGTATATGATATAATAACGTACGCAGATAAACGGCATTGCGATACTTTCGCCTTTATCATCGTTTCGTGTTTCAATCAATCGAGCGATTTCAAAATACATGTGAGCTCGAACGATTAAATTCATCGAACGTTTTATATTACAAATACCTTAAATTATTTAATAACATGATTCTCACAAAAATAGCGTCAAATGTTGAAAATTAAATATTACAAATATATAAATATAATATAAAATGTGCAAATATATTACATCTATCATGCATATCCCTTTCATCATTGTTTAGTATTTGACTGCTACACATTACATTTCGGTTATATCCAAAATTACGCAGTCATGTTACCATTATCGGATCATCTCTATGATAGCGTACGTGCAATCAATTATAACTATCTTAAATTATATTATACGTTGTATGAAGCAATATAACGCTATGTAGTAATCTAACCTGTGCGGTAAGCTGAAAGGGGCTGGCAAATGCGATTTATAGCTTCAATTTCGATGGAAAATTAATGACAACCACTAAATTCGCTCCTGAAGATATAATTATTTAAGAATAATTACTAAAAGAACAAGCGTAATATACTCGCATAGCAGTTTTTTCGTTTACTTTTAAATTAAAAAAGATTAATATTAAATAAAATATTAACTAACAATAAGCATAATATTTAAAATAATTAAAATAAAATACGGATTTAAATAAATATACGTTTATAATAAAGTTAGCATAATAAAGTTAGAATACGATGGGACTAGCAAATAATATTTCTTAAATATTGTTAGAATAATATTGTGCCCCTGTATAATATACGCAAACGCAACGAATAAATTAGTATCAATTTCCCCAATCTTTTATCCCTCGGAAAAAAAAATTTATTCTTTATTATTTATTTCTATATTATTCATAGAGGTTTATCCAAAATCTCACACTGGTTATCGTTGTTGGTAGTTCGAATTAATTTAATAGGACGGCAAAGACTGGCATTACAGTGCAGCATTATACATACTCGCAACGTGCAGTGCACCATTTACCTATTTACCCATCCGCTATGCATTGTTCCTCGAATTACCGACTTGGGGTAGTTAACTGGGAAAACCGGCGCACCCCACTTCACAAAACGCCCCGTCGTTTCCGGTCTACGCCCGTGAGACCTTTCGGAGCGGAGCGAATATTGCCAAACGCACAGACACGGCGGTTAACGCATGCATCGATAGCTGATTCTCTTTTCGCATAACTTATCAGGTTGCAGTCGTTGGCTTCCTTCCGGGAGTGATGTTACCGATTTGGGCGCGGACACATCAACGTGAATCCACGAATTTCCGATACGTTGGCGAACTCGCAAATATAGCGCGTCCCCGTAGATGTGCTGTGAAGCTCGAATCCTATTCGCTTCCTTTTTCACGGCATGCAATCTCCACCAATTTGTACTGCGCAATTTGTAACGGAGCAAAATAAAATGCGATAATATAAATGCTAGTTACACGTATTTTAATTTTTGATATTAAGCCAATATATTTTTTAATTGAAATATTCAGTATTATTCCATGTTGGATATAAAAGGGTCAAAGCCCTATAGTCTCGCAAGTTGAAAACAGACTGGAATTTG